ATTCAATAAGTTGATATGAGCTTATGAAATCAGTTATGCTTCTGTAAATGATCAAAGAATATTTGGCACCTGAAATTTAATGTAGAACTTCAAAATAACAAAAGTGTAGGGCAGAACAAATTTGTGGTTGCTGGGAATTAAGGACAGTTAAAAAGGGTACACTTGATTACTATGGCAACAGGAGGAAAATCTTTGACAAATAATCCTATCCCTTGATTTTAGTGGCGACATAATTCATACGTGACAGACTTCAAGAGCAGCATGCCCACATGCACTGTCAGAACCCTGTGTTAGATATCCTATCAGAGGGAAGCTTGTAAGGAACACAGAGGGCCTCTAGGTCATATTTTTAGTGTCTTGATAATATATAATGACCTTAAAACAAGAAGTTTAAAAACCTACACAGATGGGCCAGAGACATGGCTCAGTAGTTAAGAGCCCTTATTGACCTTACAGAGGACCTGAGTTTGGATCCCAGAATCTACATGGTGACTCTCAACTATCTGGAACTCCAGTTCTAAGGGATCCAGCACCCTCTTATGTCCTCCATGGGCACTGCACACACAGGGTGCACAGACATGCATGCAGGTAAAACATCCATACACATAAAATTAAGTAAAATAAATTTAATAAAATTATCAAGTCATTTTTTAAAAAGACTACATAGATTTTCTTTTTGCTGTTTTTTGTTTTTGTTTTTTGAGACAAAATCTCTCTGTGTAGCCTTGGCTATTCTGGAACTCACTCTAAACCAGGCTGGTCTTGAACTCACAGAAACCCACCTGCCTGTGTCTCCTGCAAGCATCACCACTGCCCAGCTTAGAATTTTTTTAGATAGCTGAATGTGTTTTTATAAATGGCTTGAAAGGAACTCACTTTCCTTTTCCTATGGAGAAAAACAATAGTCTACTTTTTTGGTCTACTACAGATACCTGTTTATGCTCATCTGTTTGCTTCTCTTTTGAAATAGAGTCTTGCTCTGTAGCCACATTACATGTCTTACTGCATGTCACGCTGCAGTCCACATTTTGATGATCAGTTGAAGGATATCTGGCTTCTGCTTTTTGACTACTATATACTATACATTCATTTACAGACTTTGATGTGGATGGAAGTTTTTGGTTATTTTAGGCATGCATCTGAACAGAAGTCAAGCATCTCTCTGATGTTTCTCAGTTTGTCTGCACATCAGGACAGGTCTCTCACTGGTATGGTCCCCTCTGGGGTAGACAGAAACAACTTCTGGCCTCTTGCTCTTAGTGCATGAGGTCCAAGGCCATGAAATCTGCCCCTCACTAAAGAGGATCCTATTCCTCAAACAAGTTAAACCTAGCAAGGAGCCCTCTCTAAGTGGCATGCCCTAAATCACCCTAAATTTTGTTTCATTTAAAAATACGTATGTGTCACCAGGTGGTGGGGACACACACCTTTAATTCCAGCACTCAGGAGGCAGAGGCAGGTGGTTCTTTGTGAGTCTGAAGTCAGCCTGGTCTACAAAGTGAATTCCAGGACAGCCAGAGCTACACAGAGAAACCATGTCTCAATAAAAAAAAAACTTTATGCATTACTATGTGTGTGCACCATGGCATGGAATATGCTTGGAGATAACTTCGTACAGTCAGTTCTTTCCTTTCACCTTTATGTGAGTTTTGTGGGTTTAACTTGGGGTACCAGGATTACACAGAAAATGCTTACATATACTGAGCATCTCACTAGTCCGAACCTAAATTTCCCCTTCCTGCTAAGACAGCCAAGTCTGCCTGTCGTCAGTGTCTAGAGGACATGGGATCTGGCCTTGGCTTTGAGACCCCCACTCCATTTGCCCTGTGTCCAGTGTGCTATGACTTTACTTCGAATTAACAGAGTCTCCCCTACCTACCTGTCCTGGTAACTCTCCCACAACCGCTTCAAGCCATGTTCTGCCAAGCCTTCTAGAATAAAAAGGTGGATCTTTCCATCCAGCAGGTGGAAGCCAGTGAGCACATCTAGGTTCTGCTGCTCATGGATCTTCACACGCACCCTGAAGGCCGACAGGATCTGCTGAATGTGCTTGGTGGGATAACTGTCCAGGTCCAGGGCTTTGGCATTGATCATGGTGATGTCCTGCAGCAGGTTCTGTAGGAGGGCCAGCTTCTTGGTGTTGAACACAAAAATGATGCGGCCGAACTGGGTACCCATGAGGTCAAGTTCAGGAGCTGTGAACCAAGTACTCAGGGGCACTGCAATGTCCACTCGAAGCTTGAGTAGAGAGCTGGCCTCCAGGTAGTTGCCTATGGGCATTGAGTTGTGCTGGAGGACATCTTTGGGGGCCCGATACCCTACAAACCTGTTCCTGCTATCCTGGCTCTGGCTGGCAGACTTTGGCTCACAGTTATGGATGGGGACAACCAGGTTCAAGTACTTATGACCAAGGAGGAGGTCAGCAAAACTGACCCGAGCAATCCCATAAGGGTCCCATATCTTATTCTGGGACTCAAAGGGGTTAGTCTCTGTGTCTTTGGGAGAGATGAAAGCTTGGAGATTGAAGTATGAATCCACAAGGTCCTCTCCAAACAGGGCAGGCTTCCGGGAATACTCCTCTGACTTTCGGTCCCTGTCATGGACTTCAACCACCATGGGGGGTCCTTCCAGGTACTCCCTCAGGTCACTAGGGTGCATGGCCCCAAGGAAGATGACATTGATATCCTGGAAAAATACATGAGTCCCATGGGGCTCCCCCTTGGTCTCATGAACTGGAGTCGTGTGGAACTGGTATCTGCAGTACACAGGGCTGCACAGCCTCTACAAGAGAGCAGGGGAACAAAAGGTTATCCTCCACCTGTGTGCACAGACTCTATAAGACAGCAGGGGAACAAAAGGTTATCCTCCATCTGTGTGCTCAGACTCTATAAGAGAGCAGGGACAGCATGTCACAGTCCACCTGTGTGCGCAGACTCTATAAGAGAGCAGGGACAGCATGTCACAGTCCACCTGTGTGCAGGTGAATTGGATTTTTAGCTTGACTCGAGCCAAAAACATTTTATAATAAAACAATGAAAATGCTGATATTCTCCAAAGACTCGGACAAGACCCAGAGTCTTACAATATGGCATTCAATATGGCAATCCAGAATTACAAGATACACAAAAAGACAAGAAGGAGAAGATCAACTGATGCCAACTCTGAGATGACTCCCAGGTTGGAAATGTGAGGGTTTAAAGTGTGCTATTATGGCCACATTACAAGAAGTAACCACAGACACTGCTCAGAGTGTCTGCAAAGGCCACTTGTCTTGGTAGAAAGTACAAAAAAGACCCAACAGAAACCAAACAAGAGATTAAAATTTCACTGGATAGTCCTAAAAACAAAATGGAGCTGGGCATTGGTGGCACATGCCTTTAATCCCAGCACTCGGGAGGCAGAGGCAGGCGGATCTCTGTGAGTTTGAGGCCAGCCTGGTCTACAGAGAGAGTTCCAGGACAACCTCCAAAACAATACAAAGAAACCCTGCCTCAAAAAAATGGAGGTAGCAAAGGAAAAGAGGAGAACTTAAAGAGAGAGCACAGAACTGTGAAAGACTGGCAAGGAACAGGAAAGAATTCTGAGACAATTGTAATAAATTAATATCTGTATCGTCAGAGTTCCAGGAAGAGAAAGCAGAAAGGACATACAAATGCTATCAGAAGGACAAATGGTTAGAAATTGCCTCACTTTGGAAAAGACATATTCTCACAGGCTCAAGATGCTCAATCCATCCAATCAGGCTTAACTCAAAAAACCCACATCCAGACACATCCTACTAAACTATTTTGTTTAGTTCTATTTTCAAAAAAGGAGCAAGAACATGGAGGACAAAAAGAGAGGTACAGTGCTAAGGGATGACATCATCAATTGAGGATACTAATTGATGTGCCCCAGGATGAAGTGAAATGGATACTTGTTCACCAAGAGAAGAACACTAAGATAATTTGTTACTAGCAGCCATATTTTAAAAGGCTACTAGAGTAGCTTCCACTTGCAAAACATTCTAGCAAATGCAAACAAAAGATGGAGGATTAGCCGGGTGCTGGCGTTGCACACCTTTAATCCCAGCACTCGGGAGCAGAGGCAGGCGGATCTCCGTGAGTTCGAGGCCAGCCTGGTCTACAGAGCAAGTGAGTTCCAGGACAGCCTCCAAAACATACAGAGAAAACCTGTCTTGAAAAACCAAAAAAAAAAAAAAAAGATTGAGGGAACTTTTCTGGGAACTTAGTGGTGATTACAAAGTAGCAGCATTAGGAAATGTTAGACATTTCAACTGGCATAGAAAGACGTGTGGTTTTGATGCTCTATTTCAGTGAAAGGGATTTTTTAACTTGACAATTTTTATAAACTGATAATTCAAAATAAATATATAATATATGTGGATTCACTTTTTAGAAAAATATAATGTATATATGAGAATGTACTCACACTAAGATACATCATGTGTTAGTTAATTTTCCGTTGCTGCGATAAAACATCATAAGTAAGGCATAAGTAAGAATGGATGATTTGAGATTACAGTTCCAGAGGGATAGGAGGTCAGCATCATCATGACAGGGAAGCTTGGCATCAGGCAGGTGAGGCGACTGAAGCAAGCTGGGAGCTCACATGTAAACCACAAACAGGAAGTAGACACGGTAACCTAGGAATGGCATGGAGACTCTCAAAGCCCACCCCCAGTGATGATGTACTTCCTCCAACAAGCTTCCTCTGCATCTCCTAAGCCTCCTCAAGTAGAACCGCCATCTGGGAACCAAGCATTCAACTGCCCTGAGACTATGGGAGATGTTCATTCAAATCACCACACACAATAGTTTCAAAAGGTAAAAAGAAGATCCTACAATCTTATGCCTTCAAAATGCAGAAGCAATGATTTTTAACCAGTGAGTCTATACCCAACTGTGCTGGCTAGTTGTTTTACTTTGGTTGGCTTGGTTGGTTGGTTAGTTGGTTGCTTGCTTGCTTGCTTGCCTGGTTGATTGGTTGCTTGGTTGATTGGTTGCTTGGTTGCTTGGTTTGGCTTGTTTCTTTCAGGTTTTGTCAATCTGACACAAACTGGAGACATCTGGGGAGATGGAATATCAGCTGAGGAATTCCTTTAGAAGACTGGCCTATAGACAAGACTGTAAGGCATTTTCTCGACTAATGATTTGTGTGGGAGAAACCAACCTAAGCCTACTGTAAGTGGTCCTGTGTTATACACAAAAGCAGGCTGACACATCCTGGTCTACATAGAGAGTTCCAGGACAGCCAGGGCTAGACAGACAGACCCTGTCTCAAAACTTAATAAAAGAAAGAAAAAAGGGGGATCAGGCTGAGCAAGCCATAGGAAGCAAGTCAGCAGGAAGTGCTCCTCTGCAGCCTCTGCTTCAGTTCCTGCCTCCTGGTTCCTGTTTGAGTACCTTCTCAGGTTTCAGGTGATGATGGACTCTAACCTGTAAGATGTAATAAGCATTTCCCTCCCCAAATTGTTTTACTCAGTGTTTTATCACAGTACTAGAAAGCAAACTAAGCCACCAACCAGTTTTCCAAGTATGAGAATATGAAATACAACAATATTTTGGAGTGTTTTTAGAGTGTGAAATAATGTGGTTGTGGAATACACACTAAAGGATGTATTTCAGCAAAACCAAGGAGCAAATAGAGGAAGAGGAAAGCAGTCCTGGAAACACTGATCCAGACAAGAAAGTGGGAACTCCTAGGATACACAGTAGCACTGAGCCTGGAGGGCTTACAACAGCACTAACCCATCTGGGTGCTGCTGCTGTGACAACGAAGTCCATGCATCTCTGACCAGGCCAGTAATCTACATTTGTAGCCCACTTAAGAGAGTAGTGAAAAGCCTCAGGCTTGGTGACTGCTACTCTCAGGAACATTTTCTCTTTTTCAGATTTCTCTACAGAATCTGAAATGGTAAGCTGTGGGTGGTATTTCTCATACTGAGCACCTGAAAGATTAGACAGCTCACAGTAGCCACCTGGGTGGGATAAGGAGGTTCTCTTAATGGGAGAAGCAAGGGTTCCTTCTTACCTCCAGGTCATGAATGGATACAGGGTGGGTTGGAAGGCAAGAAGCACACTTGATCTTTATGGTCAGGGGGTTCAGGTCTTGTTTTTGTTCTTCAGTCATGATAGGAACCTCTGTTTTTAAAGTCAAAAAGCAATCTAAAATGTTGGCAGACTTCTCACTGCCACGGCTGATGACCGTTTGCCAGCCTATAAGGAAACACACACAGCATTAGCCCCCTTAACCTATGACAGTTGGAAGCAGTTCTCATCAGAAACTTGACAAGGGGTGCTAGCATCTTTGATACAGGAGGGTACTCTTCAGGCTACCAAAAGAAAAACGCAAACACCAACCTAGCTACAAAACATTATATTTACGATAGCGCCCTGCCTACAAGATACGCTAATGCAATCGTGGCACAAAGCTTGTAGGAGTAACCAACCAATATCTAGTTTGATTTAAGGCACACTCCATGAAATGTAACATATAGCCATGCTACTTGGGTGGCCAAAAACCTGAGACTAGATAGCCCATGGATAGAATAAAACTAAATACTACTTACTATTCTAGCACTACTGCCAGGAGACACAACATTCCACTGAACTGGAAGCTCGGATATCACCCTCATACCCCCACTAAAGCCACTTTGGGCTTCTGATGGCCTTAAGCCAACAGGCTAATGGAGGAATAGCAGTGTTAGGAAGTATACTGATCCAAATTACTATGGGGAAATTGGATTGCTTCTCCACAATGGAGTTAAGAAAGATTCTGTCTGAATGCAGGAGATCCTTTAGGCAGGATGGCAAAGGGCACAGACCCTTCAGGAATGAAAGTGTGGGTTACTCCTCCAAGAAAACAGCTAAGACCTGCTGAATTCTTTGCTGAGGGTAGAAGAAATACAGAATTTGTAGTAGAGGAGGGTAGTTATAAATACTAGCTGGGGCCACATAACTAGTGGCAGAAAAGAAGATTATAATTGACATGAGTTTTATTGTATTTTGTTAAGAATGTGTTTGTACAGATATTTGTGTTTTCCTTCCTCAATTTCTTCATCATACAATGTAACATCAATTAAGATTATATCAGTGGTTATTGTATTTAAGTTTGAGATGCTAAAAGAATGTTCTTAAGGGGAACATCTACTCTAAATTTATAATGTGTTTTCAGTTATACATAGGATATTAATAACCTGTTAGGCAAAATTATAACCTGGTTAAACATATAATGCATTTGTAGTTGTACATGTGATGGTTATATCATATTAGGCATAATTATGGTTAAATACATAATGTTTGCAATTGTACATAGATAGTTATATCATGTTAAGCATAAGTATGACTTAGTTATTGCTTTTACCTGGAAATTAAGCCTGTGTGTCAAATTAACAAGAGATGGACATGTGACTGCTATTCTTGGCTGTCAACATGACTATATCTGGAATTAGCTAAAACCCAAGTGGCTGGGCACAGCTGGGGGATTTTTCTTCTTAATTAAATTATTTGAAGTAGGAAGGTCCACTTCTAATCCAGACCCTTGAAGTGGAAGATCCCCCTTTTATCTGGACCTATATAAGGACTTAGAAGAAGGAAACTTGCTTTCTCTCTCTCTCTCTGTGTGTGTGTGTGTGTGTGTGTGTGTGTGTGTGTGTGTAACAATCTTTGTACACTGTGAAAATGTGTTGCTCTCATTGTTAATAAAAAGCTGGTTGACCAGTTGCCAGGCAGGAAGTATAGGTAGTACAACCAAACTAAGCACTGGGGAGAAGAGGACAGAGTCAGAGGAGTCACTAGCCAGACACAGAGAAGGCAAAATGTATACAAATGAGGTAATAAGCCATGAGCCATGTGACAGACTTAGATAAGAAATATGGGTTAATTTAAGTTGTAAGAGGTAGTTAGTAAGAAGTCTGAGGTATCAGCCAAGTATTTATAATTAATATTAAGACTCTGAGTAACTATTTGGGAGCAGGCAGTCGAGACAAGAAAACTCCACCTACTCACTCTCTCTCTCTCTCTTTCCTTCTCTCTCCCTCTTTCTCTCCTCTCCCCCCCCCTCTCTCTCTCCCTGTGGATCAGGATGTAGCTTTCAGCTACAGCTATAGCACAATGCTCCCTGTCATGGTGATAATGAACTAAGCCTCTGAAAATGTAAGTAAGCCCCCAACTAAATGTTACTTTGGTCATCATGTCCCATCACAGCAATAAAATAGAAACTATGACAGAAGTTGGTACCAGGGAACAGAGTATTGCTGTGACAGGTCTGACCATACTGCTTGTTGGTGGAATGTGAACTTTGGGACTTTAGATTAGGAAATCAGTTGAACATTTTAAGTGGTACTTAATGGGCCATACTCGTAGGAGCTTGGAAGACAGTAGTGCTGAGATTAATGTAAATTATAACAGCTCACCTCAGAAGTTTCAGAGGGGAAGAATACTATTAAGTTCCCTAACAACCATTCTTGTGATATTTTGGCCAAAAATGTGGCTGCTTTTTTCCCTTGTCCTAAAAATCTACCTGAAGCTAAATTGAAGAGTTTGGGATTAATGGCTTTGGCAGTGGAGATTTCAAGACAACCTAGTATTTATTAATTGTGCTGTGTGTTTGCTAGTAGTCACTCTTAATGCAGATCTACAATGAAAAGAAGAGAACGGGGCAAGGAGGAATACAGAATGCACAGTTTGAGGAGAAAATGTAATAGAACAAAGTCCAGTACTCAAGGAAATAATAAGCTTAAAGAAAAGGCTGGTACTATATGGAATAATGGGAGTGGTACTCTCAGGGCAAAACCCCATCCAGATAAGCTTCTATTTTGTGGAAAGGAGGTTTCAAAAGCTTAGGAGGTGAAAACCATGAAAAGAAATTATTGTTTGTCAAGTTGACAGGGGGTGTAACAGAAAGCTGATACACATGTAATTGAACAAGGGAGCCAAGTTCCAGCCCCATCAAGCAGCAGAACTTAGTAGCTTCAGCCATCTGGTCCTGGCTTTAGAGTCAAGCATACAAGAAAGGGTTTATGGAATCTCCTTCTGCAACTAATGAAAAATTCTAAGGATAGGAGTGTGTCAGGGGTGTTCCTGCCTGGAGGCCCAAAGAGGCCACTGTGTGAACCTGTGAGGGTGAAGCCAGAATTATACTGATGATCCCAAGTTGTTGGAAATGCCAAAGTCATGGGGCATCCACCAAGGAGAGCTTCATAGTAGGTGTGGAACCAGCCCAAGGAGGAGAAGTGTGTAGCAGTCAGCAAAGCTGGAAGGGGCTGGAGACGCAAAGAGCATTTTGATATCAGACATGCAGATGCAGAATTTCAAGTTTTCCATGTTTGTTTTTAGTTTTACTTTGGCCCATTATTTCCTCGCTATTGGAATATCATTGTATATTCTGTGCCATTGTATGTTAGAAGTATATGATCTGCTTTTTTATTTTGATTTTACATGGAATGTGGTTAGATTGCTATGAGTTTCAAAGACTTTGAACTTTGGACTTTTAAACGGTATTGAGACTGTGAAAGACTGAATGCATTTTTTACATTATGATATGGCTACAAGTCTATGGAGACCATTTGAATAAGAATGGCCTCCATGGGTGCATATTTTTTAATGCTTAGTCACCAGGGATTGGCACTATTTGAAAAGGATAGGAGGTGTGGCCTTGTTGGAGGAAGCCACGGGGGGGGGGGTAGGCTTTGAGGTTTCAAAAGCCCAGCCAGACCCAGTGGCTCTCTCTTTTCCTCCTGTCTGTGGATCCAGATATAGAACTCTTGGCTGCTTCTCCAGCACCATGTCTGCCTGCATGCTGCCATGCTCCCCACCTTGATGACAATGAACTAACCCTCTGAAACTGTGAGCAATCCCCAATTAAATGCTTTCCTTTATATTAATTGCCTTGGTCATGGTGTCTTCTCACAGCAATGGAGAATGACTAAGACAGAGAAACAGGAAAAAGTAGGGGGAGGGGAAAACCATAATCAGGGTATTTTATGTAAGAAAAGAATCTATTTTCAATAAAAGGAGAAAATAAAAGATTTAAAAGGAGATTCATACCACAGAGGAAATTTTTAAAGCTTTTAAGAATCAGAACATTGGACTTGGTGGCAATCATTTTTGACCCTAGCACACAGGAGGATGAGGTAGGAGATGCTCAAGTTCTAGGATAGCCTGGGCTACACAGCAAGACTCTTGTTTCCAAAAAACAAGAACAGGGATGTAGCTGAGTGGTAGGAGACTTGCCTAGTGTACCCAGAGCTGTGGGGTCCATCCTCAGAACTGGAAACACTGGGAAAAGCTCAAAGATGATTGCCAACATGATAGCTCCCTAAGAGGTGGATTTTTATCACTTTATCTTGATCATCTAAAGGTGAGGCCCGTATTTTCTGAATCACTCTGAGTATAGTAATTTTTTACTGTGTGGGTGCCACCCACACAGAGATAACTGGTTTGGTCTGTGACTTCTACACAGGTGGGTGACTATACAGCCACTGTTCTGGACCTGTGCTCCTGTCAGTGTTCCTTATCCATGCTGGCCACATTTCAAGTACTTAGTGGCTATGTGGCTGTGAGTTAGCAGACTCAGAGCCCGGCCTTCACTTCGGACAGTGCTAGTGGTCAAGCTGCGATAGGTTGCTAAATGAAAGCAAAACACCAGTGAAGGCGAGTGGAGTCCATGCAGGTCCCTGGAGCTGAGGGGTAGGCACCTCTTTCACTGTCGCCATTCAGCAGCTGAAGAGAATGTGACCGGCACCTGTGGCATGTGCCCTACTTCCTCTCCCACCCAACACAAATGACAAAACATGCAGCAGCACCCTACAGGTGCCAGTAGCACCCTGCTCCGAGCTATGATGACCGAAAATGCTTCACCCCCACGGGACACAATTTTCCAGAAGAAACGCCCTGATGCAATGTGAAGGAAGGAGAGGCAAGCTCTTACAAGTGCCAGCTCTAAACAGACATCATGGTTGCTTGATCCTTGAGACACTCTTCTGGGGTTGCTGTCATTTTCCCTTTACGGAGGAAAGCTGAGCTTCAGACATGTTAAGTCATCACCCAAGGTTGCTGAGCTCTTACACTGCAGAGCCAGCAGCCCATCTAGGCTGCTCACTCTCCCCAGCCCTCCACACACAACCCCCCTCCTTTAATGCAAGGGTCCACACCCAAGCTCAGGATCTCCCAAAAGTTCCACTGGGGACCAACTGCTGTCTCCTACCGTGCTATAGATAGCCTCTGGCCTAACCTAAAATGGAAGATGTTTACCAGACAGAATGGGGATGGGAAAATCTCAGGCTGTGATGTCATGTCGAAAGCAACTGACCCTGAGTCAAGGCCACTCTGATTGACCACCACCTGCAGCTGCTCTTAGGCTGGGGCTCATCTCCACTTTCCTGGGGCCACCAGCATCTGACCATCTGCTCTCCCAAAGACCTAACTGTCACCTCCCTACTAGCCACTCAGAGTCCCTCTGTTGGCAAGATCCTGAACTGAGCAGTGACAGGTGTGTGGTTGGTGCCATCTCAGAACAGAGCCCGCACCTCTACAAAATAGCTAGTGGAGGGCACACACTCCTCCTGAGTAAAAATCCAGAAAAAAAATTTGGAAAAGGTTTGAAATTATTTTCTCTAAATCTCTAAAAAAGAAAAAGATGGTTTTCCCCATATTGCTCTTTTTAAATATTACATAATTTAATCTAAAATTTATCTTGAGATTGCATCAAAATATATGAGTATAGTGAATAGCTGTTCATTGTTTGCCAGAAGATAGAAGCATAATTTATAAAACATGGAAAATCTTACAAGTCAAAACAAGCCAATCCTCGCTCTACTACTGACCTGTATGCACTGGGTAGGTTACTTAACATGATTTTTCCTCAATAGAAGACAATAGTGACAGAGAAAAGCCACTGCCCCCAACACCATCCCAAGCTCATTGGGTGGAAGGAAGGAAGCTTCTCATGAGAAGTGAATGACGGGACATGAAGAATATGTCACAAATGGTCCATGAGAACTGCATCCTTCTGTTCCCTCTACTGGATGCTTCAATGAGGACCTGTAGGGAAGCAGCCACTAGAGGGCCGCACCTTAACCACGACAGTTACGTTCTTACAGGTTTCCTTGTACTTTGGAGTCAAACACTCGTGTTGAAATCCTGGCCCTACACTTGTAAGCTGTGTGATGCTGCAGGGTAGCTAACCTCCCTGGGCCTGCATTTCTTTCTCTGAGCAGTTGAGAGATTCCTGGGGTGACGGTGAGGAGGAAATGAGGGACAGCAGGATCTCAGTCACCACAAGTGTCTCACAGGTGAACATTCTACACATGTTAGCTACCAGCAAGGAGTGGCATGATGGACAGCTGGATGGAGAAGATGCTGGGCTTCCAGGGGGCAGCCGCCAGCTTCGGGTCTGCCTCCTCCTCTGTTTGATATTTCTTCATTTTCTTTGGGGCTTTCTTCTTTGCCTCTGAATCTTTCCCTTTAACTTTAGAACCAAAAGAAATAAACGTTAAGAAGGGATTTGCCATGTTTCGGTATTGTGCATTCACATATGAGATAGAGATCAGAAGGATTCTGGAAGCTCCTAGAAATCGGGGGTTATCTTTTGTACTGCTGTCTCTTCCTCACAACCGAGGTGATACAAGCCTTGGGTGATACACTATCATTGGATATTAGCAGGTACAGAGCGAAGGTGTCCCCAACTACTCTGAGACTAAGTATGAGACCATGGTGATGACACTATACAGTGCTCCAACTGCTTATGTCACTCAGTCACATAACAGTACAGAGCTAAGTTCCAAACCCAGTTCCACCTTCCTACAGGAGTGGGGAGCGGCTTCTAACCCCAGCTACCTCATCCATCTAATGACAGTAGTGTGCCGGGAAGAGAACAGGAGCAAAAAGTAAAATGCTCTGCTCAGTCAGGCCTGGTGGTGCATGCTTTTAACCCTAGCACTCAGGAGACAGGGGCAGGTGGACTCACAAAGGTAAGTTTGAAGCCATCTCAGTCTACGTAGAGAATTCCAGGTTAGCCAGGGCTACATGATGAGACCTTCCCTTTGAAAAAGTAGAAGTGCTTAGCTCAGGTTGGTCTCGGGCAACAGAACAGGCTATTAGCTTGGGGAACATGACAGCCAGTGGAAAAGTCTAGAAAGCACAGGCTCAGGTACACACATGGGAGAGTTGATGGGAGCCAGAGGGAGCATTTCAAAACAGCAGAAAAGCAGGGACTTTCAGCAAGAGGCAGAGACTGACCATTTTAAGCAGTGGAAATTGCAGGGCTATCCCACACCATCTCTGAAATGAACTCAAGAATAAACTTCAGAATCATCAAACAGGTCTCTTAAGCCTACCTGCACTGGCATCATACCAGGAAGGGTTTCCCAGGTGTTAACTATAGTATAAACTAGAAAGAGGTAGTGAAATAACTTCCACACAAAGCAAGACACCACAAGTGAAGTTAAAGGCTGTCATAAACCCTGTCTGGGAAGGTCATCTACCACTGACATCCACAATTAGCAGATCACGTAATGTTGGAACTGCACAAGCCTCTAAAATGCTGGACAGCCACACTGGAAACCAAGGGTGTAGAGCCAATGTGACTGAGCACTGGGAGTGGGGAGAAGGGGAGACCCTCAACACAGATTGTCAGGACAGTGAAGCCCCACCTAGACAAGAACAACCAAAACCAGGCACAGACAACTGTGTTATCCACAAGTCTCCCAAGCAATGGGAACATAGTGGTCACTGCCATGGTGTCAGGGATAGCAAGGCACTTGGGAAATTCAAGTGTCCCTTGACAGAAGGGTAGTAGTATATCTATATGACAGGGAGTTCTGCAAAAGTCAGAATGAAAGTAGCCAGTGTCCTTACATATGTAGACATGGACAAACCTCAGAAATGAGTAAGGTGTTGGAGACCATTGAGCAATTTCCACACCTCCCAGGAATAAAACACTATGTAGTCTGAACATGTAAGGGTGGATGGGTTGAAGGAAGGAAACAAGAAAGGTATGTCCCTCAAAAAGCAAGATGCCATGAGCACTTGCACTGCATCTGTTATCGCTTGTTCCTTAAAAAAAGAAAAATAAGCTAGGGAGATGGCTCCATGGGTAAAGGATTTGCCCCATCTGCATGAGGACCTGAGTTTGAATCTACAGAACCCACATAAAGTCAGACACAGCAGCACACAGCTGTAGTTTCCAATGCTCCACTGTGAGATGAGAGAGACAGGGGAATCCCCAGGAGCCGGCCATCCTGGTGTATGTAGCCACAAAGAAAAAAAGAGACCCCACCAAAAGTGGAAGACATCCAGGGTCAACCTGCTGACCTCGAAATGTATACTTTGGCATTCATGGAACCACATATGCATGCATGTGTGCACGCATGCGCGCGCGTGCACACACACACACACACACACATGCAGGCACATATGCACAGGTACCACACACATACATACATAGAAAAAACAAGAAATGGTGGAATAAGGGAAAATATTAAACCCTAAATTGTGGCACATAGTTGTTTTATTCTGTGAATTTCTATTCATTCAAAATAAAAGGAATGATTGGAAAAACCCTCACTAAAATGCTGAAAACACGCTTTCTAGAAGAGAGAACCCTCTGGAGGACTTGGGAGGTAACCAAATATGAGTGTGGGGACCACGCCTCAGGACCTCCAAAGTAGGAGAGAGCCTTATGCTGCTGTGCCTCCAGTATCTGGGCGAGAGCAGGACTCAGTCCTTCCTCTGTAGCCCTGGGAAACAACAGATGATTGGCAGGTAAGGAAATAACCTCAGCAGCTGCCCAGGACTAAGGTGAAGCAACCCATTCAGGGAAGCCTCAATTTTCACCCACCAGGTTACCAAAACTCTGGTGAGTAATCCCGGACTAAGAATGAGCAGGTAGATTGTGCAGTGTCTTTGGTTTCTGTTGCTCCGATAAAACACCATGACCAAAAGAGACAAGGGAAGAAAGGGCTTGAACAGGTCACAGGTCATCGTCAAGGAAAGCCAAATCAAGATCTCAAGCTGACAGGAACCTGGATGCAGGAGCTGAAGCAGAGGCAGTGGGGGATGCTGCTCACTGACTTGCTCTCCTGGCTAGCTCAGCCTGCTTTCTTATACAAGGCACGGCACTCCCTCCCACATCAATCATTAATCAAGGAAATGCCACACAGGCTCGCATACAGGCCAGCTGATGCAGGCATGTTCCCAGTTGAGGTCCCTCTTTCCAGATGACTCTAGCTTGTGTCGAGTTGGAAAACAAACCAACAAACAAGCAAAAACAAACAAAAAAACCTCAACCAAGACAAATGGCTTCTGAGGGTTCTTATTGCTCCACAGGCAATGATTTCATGCTTTGTATTAGACAGCCCATGACATAAGATACTGCACCCTTCATCTCTCCAAGAAAAAAACCATCCCTTGTCTATCATGGAGTTTTCCCAGAACCCCAAAACCCAGAACCCACCCCCAAACACAGCACTACCACACAGCGTTTCAACTGTTCATTGGGAAGTTCCCTTTAGAAAGCAGACATTTTCATGTCTACATTTGCATAGTGCATGGACCAGGAATCCAAAACTATTGGTGAAGTGAAAAGGAACAAAATTCTGTGGGTAAGTGGATGGACAGATGGACAGACAGGCAAATGGATAGATGAATGGATGGATGGATGGATGGATGGATGGATGGATGGATGGATGGATGGGTGGGTGGGTGGGTGGGTGGGTGGGTGGGTGGGTGGGTGGATGGGTGGGTGGGTGGGTGGGCAAGTGAAAGTATATATAATATAGTATAGTATCTAACACTTAGTCAGATGCCAAACAATATGATTCAAATACCTTAAATTTAAATATTTCATAACTTTTCAAGTCTAATTATGTTATGAAATGTCAAAATCCCATCATAACTTACTTTGAGACTTCTGTTTTTCTAACATGTTTGTTAAACTGCCCAATGATTCTCTCTCGATGAGTTCCTTGATCTCCATCATGGTTGTTCCAGTCAAAGAGGCAGGTGTTTTTGTGGGGGTTCGTCTAGAAAATTCTCACAAAGATAGGACAGTGAAGAAAAGGCATACAGGTGACATATCTTACTCATTGGTTTTTACTTTCTTCTTTAAAATGTATGTATGTGAATGGCCTAGGGACTTTGTCAAATGTGGAGTATGCCTCAGAAGCCTGGGCAGATTGGGATTCATGAAGTCTACCAATCTCTCTAGTAACGGAGACATAGTGGGCCACACTTGCATAACCAAGGTTCAAACCCACTAGAAAATGTGAAGAAAAATAATATATTCTTAAAGTAGCTAAAACTATGAGGCATCTAGGAACTTTCAAGAATTATCAACAACATCTACCGGAAGTGAATATTAACTCCACTAAAATCTATAAGGAGGGTGCACGTTAAGTAAAAGGATATGTCATGATCATGGGTGTGGTAATGTCAAATAAAGTTCAATATTCTCAAATTAGTATGTAAATTCAATGAAAAACAATACTTAAAAATCAAAATTGTTAACTAGACATGACTACGTGCACTTTTAGTCCCATACTCCAGAGGTTGAGGCAAGAGAATGGCTTCAGCTTGAGAATTTAAGCCTAGCCAAGCAGCAGAGAGACTGTCGCCAAAGAAGACCCAGCAGAGGAAGCCAATACTTACTGCATGTGATCCTGGCTCTCCTCATAGCACCCCAGACCCACAGCTGTATTTCCATTCTCCACATTTCCTTCTCCAAAACCAGCTTGGCTGTCTGAGGACCCAGGACGGTGACTTCCTGGAAGCTCTAGA